ACAGTAAATACAAGTGGATTATTATCTATGCTTATAATGTCCTTCTCCTTTTAATATATGCAATTCCCCAAATGCCCAGAATGTCAACTGTGCGCCGTGTATTTGTAGTTCATCTTGTCTTGAAGTTTTGTGGCCTATTTCCCTCTTGAAAAAGTAAAATATAGCATTCTGTGAAAGACAATTTCTGGAACATACTGGAGCATTAGCTTGCACCGATCTAGCTACGTTTATTTAGTTTTTGCATTAATTCATTCCTGTCTTCAAAGATAAAATTATACCTGGTGAATGTTTAGCGCAAATAATGTCTTCTTTATATATTTTATGAAATAGGAAAAAGAAATTCTGAGTTGTATGTTGTTTGACAAATCTGAAAGTTGCTAATAACTCGTCGCAATGCTGTGTAGTTGGACATGCCTTGCTTGGGTGCAGCAGACCTCCCGCATCTGTTGGATACCAAAAGGCGCTTTTGACAGTTCTATGAGGAACACCAAGGAGATGGGCAGTGATTTCATAGTTTCCTTCTCTTTTTAGACCATTGATTGCTGACAAACTCTGGGAAATGGAAAATACACATGACTATTCTTGGGTTTTGATATTATGCAAATAATGTCAAGTGTAGAAAGACTTGTGACTCTCTTCTGATCCCACTCTCTGAAAAAATGAGACTGCTGATTGCAGGCTCCCCAGGTTCACAACTGGGGAAAGTTGTGAAAGTTCTACAACTTTGCACTAAAATATTTTTCATGCAAATCTATTTGAACAGAAAAAAAAGCATAAGGTATTCTTGTATTTTTTTTAAAGTGTTTTAGCACAGAACTATGGGGACTACTCTTTTCTTTCTTCCCATGCTGCATCCTCAGAAAGGCACAAGGGCTTGGGAGAAGAGTCACGGGTGAGCTAGATACCAAAAAAAGGTTCCTGGGCAACCTATGCCTTTCCTGGTCCGAGCTCACACACAGACAGACCAAAAGTGCCCAGTCACTGCTGTGACTTCAAGGCATGTCCAGCTACACAGCATTACGACGAGTTATTAGCAACTTTCAGATTTCTATCAAACAACATACAACTCAGAATTTCTTTTTCCTATTTCATAAAATATATAAAGAAGAGGTTATTTGTGCTAAACCTTCACCAGGTATAATTTTATCTTTGAAGACAGGAATGTATTAATGCAAAAACTAAATAAACGTAGCTAGATCGGTGCAAGATAATGCTCCAGTATATTCCAGAAATTGTCTTTCACAGAATGCTATATTTTACTTTTTCAAGTGGGAAATAGTCCCCAAAACTTCAAGACAAGATGAACTACAAATACAGAGCACACAGTTGACATTCTGGGCATTTGGGGAATTACATATATACTCCACGCACAGTAGCAGCACTTGATGAAAAAGTACAATTACAGAATCATAAAATCATTTTAGAGATGATACCACTGTGATGCTACTACAGTAAGTTTCATTTTCTAAGTGTCTTTTTTTTTAGAGTCTTCCCAGAAATGATCCTTGTGTCATTTGTGTGTTCACTCCTTCAGTAGCAGTCATGAGAAGTGTTTGGGGGTTTGCGGTGTTCTGCTGCTTAATGCAGAAATACTGGCACATCCATAAAATTGACAAAAATAAATGTAAGTTTGTGGTTTTGCCTGGTCAGTGATTAAGGACATATTTTTATTTAAATACTGTGGTTTCCTGATTCTGATTTTCTTTTTTCTTTTAGGACAATTAGTCACCCAATGATAGACAAAGTTCTTAGTATGGGATTTTTAGTCCATGTTTCTTTAGGGGAAATGCAATTGGAGCAAACAAACTGATTCAAAGCCTGCTAGAGTTTACATTTTCAGCATGAAGTGAATTTTCACATACATTTGGCTGTTCCATTCACTGCTCTGTTCCTTCACCATAGTGGTGACTTATTTATGAAGCATCGCCCGCTATACTTCGGGGTGAACGAAACAGAAAAATCGGTTCATAAAAAGTTGGTATTATTGGAGACCTGGAAAGCAACATGAGAAAATAGGCTACTTCAGATATAATAGTCCCTGAAATGGAAAAAAGAGTACATAATGCAAACGATGAAGCAGAGCCTGGAGGGGTTGGGGCGAAGAAAAGATCTGCTCTGGAGTCTGGAGAGGGCTTGCTGTGCTTCCCACCACGGCCCTGGCCCTGCTGAGAGGGGCTGCTTTTCCTGTTGGAAAGCATTTCAAGCAGAGTTTCTCTCTCAGAGCTTTCACCTGTATTTCCAGGTGAGATAAATTACTTGTATAATCTCAAGAATACATTTTTTTTTTTTAAGAATAGCATATCATTATGGACTCTTGGATTTCCAGATCTGGGACAGGAAAAATTCCATGTGAATTACTGTTCGCCGTTTTTCAATATAATGTCACAATGTTTACATTTTATGAGTTAATAACCTGCAAAAGCATTGGAAAAATAAGAAAAATAATGACTGGAAGTAACCCATTTTAGACCTTTCCTCTAATTGTTGGTTCTCATGGAACACTATTGATTTCTTACTATATGATTTTATATGTGTGTATATATATACACACATACTATTTTTCAGTGTGATACTAATATAAACTATATGTGGTGAATAAACACGCTTTTTACTTTTTCCCAGCAATACTGCTCTTTTCAACCTGTTGAAAAATTGCTTTTTCTGTGATGCCTCATGTTTTGCAGAGTAGGACAAAAAATAAAGGTGGATGACCCCAGTTTGAGCGAGCTCACTGCGTGCACAGCAAAGGGTGCCATCGGCATCCCCCACGTGCTAAAAAAAATGAACAGATTAACTCTGTTCTGAGGATCTATGATGTCCAGGTCCATTTGCTTCTGTCACTGAGGGCTTCTAATGAGCAGCACTTTGTGTGAATCCACTCTCATTTATTAAAAGGCTTTTTTTCTCTAGAATATCTATTTACACTCTTCTCTTTGCTCTCTTAATTACATGGACTCTGACCGATGTGAATCAGAGTAGAAGCTGTTTCAATGTTAAAAGATTAGTGACATGGCAGTGTCTCTAAACAATTGCAAAAATGAATGTATCTGGACTGCATTAATATTTTTGTGTCTGAAATGTATAAACACAATGGCAACGGTATTTTATACAAAAATATATTTTATCTGTTTTGTTGTCAGTGGCAAGAGGTGAACGAGGTTCTATAATTCTACTGACTTTTGCAAGGTCTTGGTCAAACCCAAAGACATTGTAACTTTCTCGTTAAAAAGTCATTATAGATGCTGATAGTTTGGGAATGTATGTAACAAATAGTGTGTACTTTACCCTAATCTCTTCCTGATATTTTTTTTTTTTGTTGTTGTAGTCTGAGATAATAACCAGCTTTCCTTTTCACTTCATTGAAATGTGGGAATCAGTTACAGAGTAGCGTTTAGCAAGATAAGGTGTAACATGGGGGATCACCAGCAGGAAATCCCACACTGGGATTATCCATCATGGCAGTAGTTGCTGGAAATGACTGAAATAGGCAGGCAGGAAAAGTTACCAAAATTCAGTGAGTTCTGATGTCATAAATGATAAATTTAAGAACAGGAATCACAGATTTGGCTTCTTTGAGGGTATATCAGAGACCGTGGAGAGGTTGGGTTCTCTTTGTAGCTGTTCACCTTCAGAGAGGAAGTCAGCTCATCTAGTTTTCTGTTGCATTTTGAGGGAAAAATCTTGGTTGCAAGTGCAAGAAGATTGGTTGCAATGTTCTTTCTTACATTTTTTTTCCATCTAGTTTATGATGCTGTCTTTTTTGTAGAGACAACTTTGATTTCAAGTCATTCTTATGTTTTCTTGAAAGCCAACTCTCCTTGACCATAAATATATTTAGATATGTTCCTTAGGATGAGAATCAGATTAAGGTATGTGCTGTTATGTTGGTTAATAGGGCTTCAAATTTTGAAGCTATGACTATGCTTAGGATTTAAAAAAAAAAAAAAAGAAAAGAGGAGGAGAGGAAATTTCTTGGACATATAACCGTTTAAGAAGGTTGCAAGCAGATTGAGTTACAAATGGTAAAGGACGTCTGTTCTGGTCTGTCCAGCCTGTATTTTTGGATAGCGTGTGAGTGTAACTTGCGTGCACAGGAATGCTTGGTTTTTGCAAGGGCAAACTGAGGGCCATCTGTCCTGCAAAGCTGTGGTTGCAGAGACCCAGTTGACTCAGAGGACTGAAAGCTAATAAATCAAAAGTGTTACACTGTCAGTAAATTTGTCACTTTTTCATTTACGTGAGGCTGCGCAGAAGTAGTGATATTTAATAGTTCTTTCATCCTTGCCCAGTAATTTTTTCAGAAATCTTTTCCAAGTGTAAAAAAAAAAAAAAAAGATAATTAAACTGATTTTACGGATGAAAAGAACAGCGATATATACTGGAAAAAAGGCAGTGGCTGATTGAAACTGATAGGTGATGTGTTCTGAAAGATCACATTTATCTAAGAGAGTCTAAGACAAAATATATAGTACTATTAAGTCAGTGTCAATGTTTTATATGCATTAGCAGGTTATTTTCAGATCTGCCTTCCTACATGCTTTTGCTCTCAGAATTATGTACAAATCATATGATTTAAAGTGTTTCCTATTTACATTTAGTTGAATGTGATGTTTCCAGGTAGGATAAAAACCAGAAAGCTGCTTGCCATAAAGCCAGTCTCTGCTAGTGTATGACAAGTTGGAAGGCAGTTCTGAAGTGGTGCCAACAGGATTCCAATGTTTTCAAGGAAAGAAATTTGTTATTCTTGAGAAATACAAGAAAACATAAACAACTGGCTTATATGGTTTGTAAGCAGTGATAAATCAATTCAAATATTGCAAATCAAAAATCTTTGCTTTTCACAGCTGGCCATTTTGCATTGTTCAGAGCTGGGCAGTGCTGGGACGTGCTGCCTGTTTGAGGTGGGAGTGAGGAGCTGAGATGCAAATAAAATGCATTATGTATTGAAGTGAATTATTTTAGTATAAATATAGACATGAAACCCATGTTTTTGATTTCAGATTTAACAAATCAAGTAGAGACAATTGGACTGAAGCTGCAGAAAGTAACAGCCGAGATGGACCACTACAAAAAGCTGTTAATGTAAGATTTCTGTTTGCTTGATTGTTACCCCACTGTGCATAAAGCTGTAACAGAACACTTTTTTCAGAGAGTGGTGCTCGTCAGGGTGATTTGAGAAGGTTCTGACCAACAGAGAAAATATTTTATCTTCATATTAAATGGCCTGTATTTCTAACCACTGACTGAGCATGTCTGTCTGTGGGAGCATGGCTTTCTTCCTCCCCCTGTGTTTAATGATACAGCAAAGAGGAGGGTTAGGTCAGCTCAGTCCCTCCCTTCATTTCAAGTGTAGGACACATTTTGTGAAATCCATACAACTTCTGGACTAAAAATGTATGTGCAAAGTAGTATTTCACATTGTAGGTTTGGGATGGAGGGAAGGAAGCAATAAAACTAATCAGAAACTTTAGTATTTAATCAGTGACTATGATTTCTTTTTCTTTTTTATCCTCCCCCGAAAATGTAAATTTCCTGTGACTTTTCCCCATGCACCAGTATGATATTGTGGTTTGTAATTTTACTGTGTTGTGCCTATGGTCTCGAGTATGCGAAATCTAAATGAACAGAGCATGGAAAATAATTCAGAAATAGCATCAACCTTTATAATTCACTGATGAAAATAAACATTACTGTTTCAAATATGAAGCTCCAGAGTAATGAACTAGTACTGCCAATCTCGAGACCAGCTATCATCAGTCTTGTTGTATGTTTTCCTGAAATTTAAACAAGGATTCATTCTTTAATGATGTGTACTTTCTGGTTTCAGTTCCTATATTCAGAGGGTCTGATCATAACAAAGTTGCAAATATTTGGAATGCTTAGCAACAAAGTATTTTAATGATAATACAAGTATTGAGTATGAAAAAAAGATTTCATGAACACAGTTAAATAAACAGTAACAGGTTTCCAAATGTAATATTAAAATTTCAGTGTAATTGGGGTACAATTTAATAAAATATCGTATTCTGTATCTGTTTAAATGTAAACATGAAGTTTAACCATGGTTATTAATTGGCGAAATAATGACATAATGACAAGACACCTGCAAAGTTTCCAGTCCTCTTACCTGCTAAATTGCTATTTATTCATGCCTTACTTGAAACTTTCATGTGTTGCAAGATCTCACTTTCTTGTTTGCAACATTAAGCATGTTGTGATCCTAGGTAAGGCTGAGTTGACATTGGAAGTGTAACTTTGAATTACTTTAAAATGTGGCTAGAACCTACAGAACTTTTTGTTGCCTGCCTTTTAAGTAAAATAGAAAATGCAAGTCAGATAGTAGGTCAATAAACCTGATGTTCAGATTACTGCATGAGTAAAGGCTATCATTTCTTTGGCTAAATATACTTTTTAAAAAAATGTTTTACTAGGGTGAAATCAACGGAACTTGATGTCTGTCAAAATGAGCTGAAAAAAATGAAATATGAAAATGGAATTACTGAGTCAAGGTAAAGGCTGAAATTATATGTCGTAACATAACATAGACTTCTGAGTAGTAAGAGCAAAAAAAAATATTATTTTAATATAGCTTTTATAATATTTTTTTCAGGTTTTAGTTTCTATTTTTGTGTTCATGTCACTAGATTTAACTTCATAAAGAATATATAGCTTTTTTTCTAAGATTTGATTTTCCAGGGACCAATGATTTCTCTTGTTTAGGACCTGTAAAGTAGAATACAGTAACTACGATGCTGATACTTTTTAATTTCATCTTAGACTTACAAAGGAGCTAAAGGAAAAGGAAGAATCTCTTCTAATTTGCCAACAAGTATGCAAACATTTACAGGAAGAGGTGGCTGAGAAAGAAAGGAAAGAAGAAGATCTAAAAAGAAGGACCAGTCGATCAGAAGGTGAACTGGAAGCACTTAAAGCTCTTCTTAGACAAACAGAGGAGGAGGTGGTGATGTTGAAACAAGAAAGGTAATCACAGATGAGACACCACGGGTAATCTCCCGTGACTATGTGTTCAACCTAGACTGTCTTTTGGGAAATCTATTCAAAATAAAACGTTCCTCCTCTGCTAGTTCCTCAACCTCTCTCACTGTTACGAAAAGGACAGGTAGATTCTGTAAAGCACCAGAGGTGGGTTGTGCCAGTCGGGATGCAGGAGGAGAGGTGGCAGAAGGAGGAGTGTGGCTGTGGCACTGGGCAGACTGGGAGAGATCTGCTGGTCCCATCTGTGTGTTCTGAAGTGCCTCTGTGCTCAGAAGGGTCCTACCCTGCCACTGCCCCTTCTCATCGCCAGCTTTTAGGGCAAAACTCGAAAAGCTTTGGCAGTCTTCAGCTCATATCCTGAAATTTTGGGACCCATTTGATGGATTTTTACAATTATTACAGTATAGACTAAACTTGATGAAAAGGAAAAAAAGCCTATTAAAAAAAGAGGAAAAAAATTCCTTACTTTGCAGTCCAGGGCTTCAGTTCAAGCTTAATCAAAACACCCATTTATTGCCATTGTTATAGCTGCTATTTGTTATATGATGCTTGTAGAGAAAAAGCCCTGGAGAGTTTAAATTCTTGTAACTTTTGTTATTAGCAACTTGCAAACCGTTACAATGCTATAAATATTGCAATATGCCAGTTTATTGGATGTGGTCTAGTATTCAGTGAAGTATATGGACAACTTCCCACCAGTCTAGTCTTATTTTGAAGGTTATCAAATATCAACGAAACTGCCATTTTCCCTGTAATTACTTTTCAGATGTGGAAAATAAAGCACTGAGTTCCTGAGGATTGTATTTTCTGGAATGATATCTAGTTTGAGAGCCTTTGTTTTTTTTTAAATTCTGCACTTATGGACCTAAATTCACATTTTTAAATTGCTCTGAGTGTAATCTACATACCCAATTTTATTCCTAACAACCACAGGCTTGTTTTTACTATTTAAGTGTCCTGCTAGTAAATTTTCAGTTATTGGCAAAAAGGAAAGTGCTGTCCCCTGCTTAAGACATAGCAGTATGTTATTTGTTTGGTTTGTGTACAATGGAAAATTTATTCAGAAAAGTGGCTTTTGGAGAAGATAAGCCTTTTCTGAGAGTGATGTGCACCAAGAGGCATTAAATTATTTTCATATTTAAAGCATTTGAATATTCTCTGTACTTTAGTACCTGGATGAAATTATATTATATGTTAATTTAAGAATATTTCCCTTCTACTTAGACCCCAGATATATGAGTTGTTCCAGGTGGTATGTTGCTAATAATCTAAGTTACAAGATTTTAAACTCTCCAGGGCTTTTTGCTTTACAAGCCTCACGTAACAAAAAGTAACTCTAACAATGGAAAGCACTCAGGGGTTTTAACTCAAAATCTGTTACAATTTTTAATTAATGATAGTAATATTCCACATTCAGTAAATACAAAAATTTCTGGTTTGAATGTTGTAACGTTTATTCAGTGTTCTTCAACCTTTCACTTGAGAAATATGAAAAATACATGAGGTTTGAATATGTATGTGTGGAAGAAAGACCAACTATAGTATTTTCTTTAAAACATAAAATTCATAAAGCATGTGATGGCATTATGCAAATGCTAAGTAGTGATTACTGCTGTGCCTCTGGGCTCCAGGCAGGATTGCTGGGTTTATTGCACAGAATACTAAACAAAGAGGAAAAGACGAGCCTTTGCCACAAAGGACTTAATTGCAAGAAAATGGCATACCACCAATCTGGGCAGAGCACTTATTTACATACAAGTTTTTGTGGTTTCTAGGGAGTTAATGCTGATTTCTCATCAGAACAGAACAGAGCAGCTGCAGGAAACATTAAGACAGAAGATGCGGAATGAAGATAACTGGAGGGAGAAGGTAATACTGGATGTGCAGTTGGCATCCTTTCAATTTCTTTATTTTCTTTTTTTCAGTTGTAGTCAGCTGTCACAAATGAGTACAGTAAGCCAGATGCCTATCTCCTCAAGTGCAAACATGTCAATAGTGTTCTTGGTACAAGAGGTTTTAATGGGTGATCTCTCTACATAGGTTGGAACTGAACGCAGAAGGTATTTAGTAGAGTGTTTACTGACTTTGCAGTTATTCGGGTCTGATCCAGACTTCCCAGGTTTCAGGGCACTTGCGAAGTGCCTGTGCTAGGAGTGCAGTGCCCTGCAAGCCCAGGTGTGAGGAGCAGGACTGAGCCCACTGAACCTCTCATCTTGCAAACGCCGTGCTTTCCCTGGGTGCTCTGCAGGAAGGGGGTGCAGCAGGAAAAGCCTGGTCTCACGGGCTGTTGTCCTACACAAGCTCCAGGGAGGTGAACATACAGAGTTCTGTGTGTGACACTCTGGGTTATAAACCCTGAACCACAATTCTGCATGGGGGAGTGCATCAATACAGATCTGACACATCTGGCAGAGAAGCACAGGAAAGCATATATTTAATATTGAAGTAGTTGCCCAGTAAAAACGAGGTTGGGCATTGTTGACAAGATGCAGAGAACACAGAGGCTTCCTGCGTGCAGGTTAAGGGAACGGAAACTGAAGATTGCTATTTGTGAAACAAATCTAGAAAATAAATAATAAGCAGGTGATCAAAAATGTCCTTAGAAGACAGGTATTTGCAAAGCAAAGCAGAGCTAAACAAACAGGCTGTTGTAGCAGAGCAGTTCTGGAGCTCTCAGGAGTTGTTAAATAGCAGAATGCAATGGAGATGTTAGCTCTACAGCTGACAAGGAGGGCGAGAGGCGTGTGGGTATCCTGCCTGGTACTCAGCTCTGGATGCAGGATGCATGTTTGTGCCATCCCTGGGACGATCCTGTCACTCATGACAATTGACAAGTGAAGAAGTAACACGATAGTTTTATCCTTTCCAAGTCCTCTGTGAACGTGAAATTTGTTGTTGTTTTGATATGAACCTGTAGTTCCCGCTGGTGTCAGGACCAGCATGTCCAGAGAAGAAAATGACACCCACAAATTAGCAGTGTCATCTAGCTTAAGATCTGAAGTCCTTGGAACGAGCATTGCTTTCAGCCCTGGGGGTGCAGGGGAGTTTGTGCAACCTGGGGTTCAGGGTACATGTGCCCCTCCAAGCAGAGAGACACCTCATTCTGCCTGACCTGGCAGGCTCTGTGTGCCCACAGGCAGAGCAAAGAGCTTAGCTGGAGATGGGTATTGGCTCAATGAGCACACACAGAGCTGGTTACAGCATGGGAACCTCAGCAGCAGGTTGGTGGTGCTGGCTGTTGGCTGTGGTGGGGGCCAAGTAGTGTGGTGGGTAGGTGGAGGAGCATGGTTAGACTGGAGAACAGGGGAAGGAGACATGGCAGCAGAAATAAGGCATGTGGCTCATCCAGTCACTTGAGCTGAGGATTCTCACAGTAAAAAAAAAGAGCTAAAAGAGTTGCACAGTGAAAGTCCTGGAGCTAGAACAGACTTGCAGCATGAGAAAGGCTTCTGTTCTTTCTTCTGACCTCCAGCATCACCAGTTCCTTTCAGACAGTTGCATCTCTGACAAACAGGCTCCTGCAAATGAATCTGCTGTTTCTTTACTTACCTTCCCTTCAAATCAGAACAGTATGAAAATAAAGACTTCAGTGAAATTTACTGTGAAAATACCTCTGTATTTCATTTGAAAAGACTTCATGCTCCTATGACTTGGCTTCTCTGTGAAATGGTCCATCCTTTGTTATTTTATTCATTGACTCTTACAAAAGCCTGCAAAGCCACTTTTATACGCCTTCCCACCTAGGCTCCTTGAGTAATTGGATGGTGGTCCTTTCACAGTAAGGAGGAAGGGGAATATGGGAGGGAGAATGATACACCTTCCATACGTACGTGCTCCTTTACAAATGCCTATTTCTCCTTTATTTAATGGAGTGAAGGAAAAATAAAATTAAGTAAAGGCTGCATGGGAAGGATGGCTGCAACACATCCAGGAGGTCAACCCAAGTTCAGGAGGTAACTGGGTTGGTTGGGGGACAGAGTAGGAAAGACTTTTTAGGTCTAGTCCTGGTCCATGGATGTAGGGTGCGACACTATGAAGATACCTCAGAGTTGGGGCACACCCTTCAAACATCTTGCCACGGCCGTGCCAGTGCTGAACATGTTGTCCAGGGCTGTTCCACAAACATAAACTCCTGACAACATGGGTTTTCTTGTTAGAAAGGCTTCCCACCACTAGCCACATCTTTAATAGGTATAACTGCATTCTACAAAGTGAAGTTATAACTTGTTAGTCATCTTTTAGTATGTACTTGGGTTTGAGGTCTTCCTTGGAAAAATACTTTCACCTAATTTAAAAAAATAAGTGTGTATGCCCACTATATGTGCTAATTAGTTTCTTAGCTAATTGCACAGCTGGTTGGAATGTGGCAATGCTACAGCTCCTTGTTTCTACTGGGCTTTGAGCAGGCTCACTGTACAACTGCAATCTTGGGAATCGAGACCTTTGGCTCCACTCTGTGGAACAGATTGCTTTTTTCTTGTGGTTTTGGGTCATGCTATGAAGTTCAGAACTGGAGACTCTAGCTGGGGTTGGAGAGTCCAGCTGCCACTCTCTTCCAGTGGAATTTGGAAAGCTGTTTACCATAAATACCCCTATATGTAAACTTTGTTTTAATCTGCCACTTCTTCCCGGGAGCACAACTCCCTTCCTAAACTGAATATAAGAAGGAAAAAAAAAACTCTGTGAAAGAAAAATTGAAAATAGTGTCGAACAGTAACTCTGACTTTTCTGATTTAGCCTTACATAATTGGTGACTAAAATTACTGTCTCTTTGTTTTTTGGTTCAGTACGTGATAAGTGTCTGAAAGCTTTATTTAGTCTCGGGAAAATTTTTTGACTACTAGCAATTAAGATCTGTTACATTTCTTTTAAAACTTCTTAACCTCTCTGTCGCAGGATATAATTTTAGAATGAGGTCACACTGTCTGCATAATCACAATGTATTGTTCAACCTGACATTAAAACAAGATAAAGGCTGCTACTAGTAAGAGAGAGCAATTACAGCTTTGGTATCACAGCCATTAAAATGTGGTGAACGTCAAGTGCTCTAAAAATGTTCTCATCAGACAAAAGAATCAGAAATGTGACAAAGTGACAAAGTTATCTTTCTCTTGGGTCAGTGTGCCATTGCATAAGTATAAAGTGTTCCAGTTTTCTATTTAAAATACAGATGAATTTTAAATTGTTTTGATGGAACAAAAGAAATTCTCTTGTATAAAAGATTTTAACATTAATGTAAACACTTGTTTTATGGATTCTTAGAATACTAATTAATGAGGGGCGTGTAAGTGGTTTTAAAGCAATTAGTAGCCATTATGCTTTCTTTGAAGATCAACTGTGATTTGCTTTCCTGTTCTGGTTATCAGCTGTAGTAGCTTCAAATGTTAAATGTGAAAAATGCTCAGTTTTTTCTACATTCTTTTCTAATTTCTGCTGCTTTTATTTTTTTAGTTTTTGTAATCAAGTATCCTACAACCTGTGATCTGCTTCTGCAACAATATGTAGAGTTAATAAAATTGGTTTTCTACCATTGGAATCCTAACTCCCATATCTAATAATATAGAAGATATATCTATTATAATAACAATAATAAGAATAATAGTCTACTTTGAGGATCTTCCAAATATACCAGTTTTAAGCTAAACCTCAGTGGGGGATTTGTGCCTATACCATGTCCAGGATTGGGTATGTTGTGATTTACATTAAAATATTTTGAGTTTATCTTTTCCCCGGAAAGAGTTAGGGGGATTTGTTATACTTTTGCTCACAATTAGTGTATGAAATTAGATAACTGTAATTAAGCTGATTCTGTGTTTTTCCGCTTTTAATAATTTTAAGTAATTAGGCTAGTGTTGTGCACATTTAATGTGTCTTTCATATTATTTCAGTGTGATACATTAGAATTCAGACTGCAGAAATATAATTTTAGCATGTTGGTTTAGGAAAAATATTTTTCAAAATACAGCCTCCAGGCTTTTATTTTTAGGAAATTATAGCTGAATTTTCAAATTTGAATTTACAATATTAAATATGTGAGATGCCTTAAGCACTGGGATGTTTTGCCCAGAATTTGCAACTCTTTCACTTACATTTCTCCTATTTTTTGTCCCGAGCTTGTCCCACATACGTACTATCACTGCTGTGTTGTCAGGACCTTAAATCGAACTGGAGCTGCTCCTTGCTGTCCTCGCTGCTCCCTGGAACCTGGACGGGCATTGGGGCCAGCGTGGTGGCCACGAGCCATCGTCACCTGGGGATGCTTAGAGAGGCAGGCATCCTGCTGATGCCTTGCTGAGAGGTTCTGTGGAGGTTCCTCTATATGCTCCTTGCCCTAGATTGCTGGGATTTAGAATATATTTAGGGGAAAGGGGTTGTGCGATAAAATTTGTATGTGGTGCTGACGTGCATTGTGCTTCCAAATTGCAAGATGGCACGTGTGGAGTATGTGTCACCTGAGTGTGGTCCCTGGAAGCAGACAGACAAGCCTTTTATATGGCAAGGTGCTATTCCCGGACAAGGCTGAGTGGCAGAGCGTGAATAAAATATGATTTTATAAGAAAGAGTTAAGGTCTTTATAGTGTAATATTGGGCTTATGGCCTAATTTTAGCACAGTAGATGTCGTTTACTGCAAAATGTGTTGTTTTGCTGCATTTGAAAATAAAATTGAGCTGAATTTTACCTCCAGAGCAAATGCTTTCAGCACAGTAATCCTCTATTTTAAGAACCAGCTAAGGATTTTGTAGTTCAGTGTTTTCCTAGTGATTTAGCGTGAAGTTCAACTGCCTAAATTTAGGCATCTAGCACTGCTTGAGACACCATGGGGCTTGTGAGACATCTTCCCAGGGCTACCAGCAGTGACTCAGTGCTGATGTTCTGCAGAGCAGGAGCCGTCCGTGCCTCCGGGAGCCGGCGGGAAGCGGGAGCTTTCCCTTGCCAGGCTCCAGCGGATGCAGTCATTCGGCTGCGTTTGTTCAGCCCCCAAAATCTCAGTCTGCCACATTTCACATCCCTTCATTTATGACAGTGTGGAATGTGGAAAATGTTTTAAGATGACTTGCTACATATCATCAAAAGCGATTTGTTCCCTAGATGGAGATTGATCTGGCTAAAGGTGAAGCACGACACAAAGAAGCAATTCTTAAAGTCAAGGAGGAGGCGAGAGTGGAAATAGACATTGAGAGACAAAAACAGCAAGAACTGATCACAAAATATCAGAGAGACCATGAAGAGCTCCAGAAGAAGGTTTGTAACAAGTGGCAGCAGATAGTGTTAACTTCTCAGAAATAGTGTGTGAAGGAATAAACCTTCTTTATGTGTAATCCTGTATCTAGATGATACAATATTACTATCATCTACAATAGAATACAGTCTAAAAGGTCTTCTCCAACCTAAATTATTCTATGATTCTTTATGTTTCTTTTTTTTTTTTTTTAATGGAGCAGGTTAATAAGTAATTATTCCATTTAGTTAAATGGTGTGGAAGTTCTTCCTTTGCTCGCGTTTTCTGTACCCTGAGTTCATCTATGTCCACAGAGTGTAGTTGTTAATTATTTTTAAACTGACAACATCATTTTTAAAGGCCATGGACTGTTCCGGACTATGACAGGTTGTCACAAACCCATCTGCGCTGTTTTCTTCCTTCTCAAATTAATTCAGCAGCGATGGGTTAAGGTCCAGTGGCCAGTTAACTGCTTTGTGGTCTGTAATGGTGGTTGCATCATATGGAGGAGGCTATTCCCAGCTACCCAGACCTACAGTTTGTGAAGTTTTATCTAGAAATTGAAAATTGTACCTATAACTTTAGTTTTCAAAAGATGTGACACATTTCTTGAGAATGCTGGAGAAGTCAAACAAATTTAATGAAATTATATTGTTATTTAAAATTCATTACATTACACAATGTTTTAAAGAGGTGAAAATCACAGTTTGGCTTAGTTCACTTTACAAATATTTGCCTATGATTTTAAAACCCTGAAGAAATACTGGCTTGCAACAAAGATGTTAAATGATCCCATTTTTACATCTATTTCTCTGTTTGATCTCGACATACTAATTAATCTCTCCGTTCTGAGTGAGTTTTGATTAATTTACGGCTCTCTGATATTCTTTGAGGGTATTATGTAAATTCAAAGCATTTATTTTTTTGTCCCTTAGGACATGTATGTTTGCATTCGTATTTTTTTTCCTGAAATCAACATTTGTCTAATACTTAATTCTACATACCTGATGATATCCATTGAATGTAGACTAACGCAGTTTTTGTCTAATCTAATGCAGATACCAGGATTAATATCCAGTGCCACCAGCAGCTTAAGGATGGAGACAGAAATTCTTGAAAAGAAGCTACAAGATGTCCAGACCAAACTTGCAGAGAAAGATGAAGATAAGGAGAAAGAAATTCAGGGCCTTAAAAGACTAATTACTGAACTTGAATTTCAGCTGACGATGGAGAAGAACAATAATGAATCATTTCTGGATAACATGAGGAAAGAAATTAAACACAAGTCAGATGAACTGGAAAAATTAACCCAGGAGAGAACACAACTGATTCACAATTTGAGTCAAGTTCAAGAGGAGGTAGGAACATGACCAGGGAAATGCCTTGCTATTTTACTTAGAGACACGTGATTTCTATAATTATTCAAAATATCTATATTCCTGATCCTGTTATGTACTGGTTTAAAACCCATTGAAATGAAAAGATTTATAAAAAAAGTCCATCATAATTTCATAAATAAAATGTGTCACAAAATGTGTGACTTTTTTAATTCAGCAGATACTTAAACTAGTGTTTTGTTTAAAATATTCAGGTCCTTCAGGGCATTTGTTTCCTATCTCTATCCTCATATCATGCTACATAAACATGAGTATACAGTAAAGTATTCTTTGTGTTTTTAAAGTAGAATACATGGACATTTCTCATTTTTTTGAACAGACAGCAGCAATCCTCCCAGTAAACTTACTTATTTTGGAAATAGGTTGTAAGAAAAAACTTCATACTGTCGATAGGAGTGAGAATAGATGCAATCCTGTTCTGAATAGCTTTAGGGGCAGAGATTGCATCTTTTAATGTGGGAGTATGTGTGTGCATCCTGCCATGCTAATGGGGATGTATCCCACTTCCCACCAGTAAATCCACTTTCTATAACACAGGAATGCATAAAAGTTAATCAAATGTGAAAAGAAATTTGACTGATGGATATTCTTACCACAAGCATTTGCTGAATGTTTGGAATATAATGGGAAGGGAGGAGAGAGCACTCTACTGCTCTATGAGAAATGTGAAAACAGTGAAGTCAGGGACTGTAGATAAGATTAGACTGGAATGTCCAAAGTAATTAAGTGGCAGAAAAAAAATTGGTAAACAATGAAAATGAAACTCTTCAAAATTAATTAGGGCTTCGGTTGATATTTATTTTTTCCTTGAAAAAGGTTCAGAAACACTGTGCTAGTGAAATTAGAATGATGCTGGCAGTCATTCTGTCCTGTACCTGTGGAAAAGGCTCTTGGAAAGACATGCCCTCTTCAAGTGCTGGTCAGGAGCTTCAGCAGAGTAAGGAACACAATTATCCTCAATCATGAGATTACACTGGCTCTGCTTATGGCCTTAGTTTTCCCTACTCTGAAACAGAGTTCCTCCTCTAATATAATTGTACTAGGAAACGGGCAGATTAGAGTGGTTGAAAATTGAAACTGGTTTTAAGATAAACTTTGCACCAGGTTCCTTCCTCAGGTTTGCAGGTAACACTTCCCAAATCATTTCATGGACTGTCAGTGGCCATCTGAGTGGCAGGGAAAGTAACGTCGAACTTTCTCTCATTAACTTGTCTGCACAGTTAGGTATTCAGAGAATATGTTGTTTTGAAAATTTACATCTCTCCTATTTCTGCTTCTGCATGTAGACATGTTCCTTCTCCAACAGTTCCTTCCCTTGCAGTGGCACAGAAGTTAGACAGCCTGAGCAGAACTTCTGTGTTTCCACTTTACATCCACTGCAGATGCTTTGACCAAAGTAAAATTTTAGAATCGTAAAAAAAAATTGGCCAACGAGGTACTTTTAATTTCTCTATCATTTTTGCAAGCTTTGACGGGAACACACATGCAAAAAATGAATAGTTTTAGTAACCTCTGATTGGATAAACAGAGCTTACCATCTTCTGCTTTAGTGGGAACACACTTCTGTGCTCTGACTTGACCGACACCAGTATTGACTCTTCAAAATATCAAAAAAGTGCTATCGAGATTATCTTTCTTACACATTTTCTTCCCTTGTATGCACCCACTGTCATAACCGCATCGAGAATTTCAAATGTTTGCCCTCACGTCAAGGTGATACGTGATCTGACCCAGCATACAGCTCATACTTTTAGCACTGAGGAGGTTTAAGTAGAAGAGTTTGTGTGGGGTCAATGAGGCTGTGCGTGACTAAGAGCGTTCTCGGTTTGACTCGATTCTCACCCTGTGTTAGACACTGCTGCTGTGGCTGCTTCCCTTCCATTCTCATGGACCTCCTGGTGTTAGCAACTATTGCTTGCTTAGAAGAATGAAAAAATGGGTATTTCCTGCTTGTATTAGTACTTTCAGTAGTTCTGACTTGCATGACTCGACTTAGTGATGTTGTCCCTTGTGTTTTATTTACTTTTTTGTTTCAGCTGGAAACCAGGAAAATTAGCACCACAAAAAAGTTCCACGTGATATACCAATTTGGGGACTCCTGTAATATTGAAACAGTATGAGTTGTCTGCTCAAGGCCCAGTACCAGTCACTCAGTATTTAGGTATCTGGAATCACAGTGCAAAGTTTATGAAAACCGGTAGACTGAAAATCATTTATCTTAATTATTTGGGAAATAATAATCCATAAAGAATGCCGGCACAAAAAATAAGAGGATAACTTCTTGAACATCTTATCATAACGAAGTGGCACAGTAATACTCCAACTGCACACGTTGCTTTTTCCTTTCCAAGACCAGCATTCCCAGTTTCCCCTAGATGGAGGATGGGCAGGAGATCAGAAGAAACTTCTGATAACTTACCTCATATTTTCCACTGTCTCCTGAGGGAATGAAGGGCGTGTAAGTGCTGATGTATGTCCTTTGAGCAACTCTCAGAGAAACCAGAGTATGGGGAAGTATTGAAGGGTTTGTGTGCATCAGTACCCTCCAGCCACCTCTGCCTTAACCCCGAGGAGCTGAATAGGCGCAGGTTTGACTGATGGCATTTTGTAAAGCCTGTGTTTGTTTCTGTTTGCAGAACACTCTTCTCCAGGAAACAGTGCGCAGAGAGTGTGAGGAACGCTATGAGCTGACTGCAGCTTTGACTCAAGCCAGGGAACAAGTACTGGAACTAAAAAAGCTGAGTGGAAACTTCCCGTTATCGCCGTGTTCCCTGACTCAGGGCAGCCTAACCTCCTCTGCTGCCCTGCTCGCTGATTACGGACAGAAAAGCCGCACAACCCCCGGCACTGGGAAAGAAATCAATCTCTCTGGACAGTTTGGTATTTCAAGAGCTGCAAAAGCACCCACCTCCAGTAAGCGTACCAGCAGCGGCGGCGTGGGCCTGCCGGCTCTAACCCCACCGCATCCTCCAAGAGGAAGGGCGGCTTCGCTGAACGAGCCCAGGAGCAGGATCGCTGCGGTTATGAGAAGACAACTGAGTCAGCTCTGACAGTTACACACACAGCACACGGGGAACCATTCCAGAGCATCAAATGACCCTTTACTTGTCCACCCCGAGGCCGAATCTTAGCCAATGCGTTTCATGCATTCTACGGCTTTAACTTAAAAGTGTCATTATTTTTTTTACGCAATAATGATTATTTGTCCATTGCGTATCAATGTGATTACAGGCTATCTACATTTCAAGATGAGAAAAGTAAAAGAGAAAGTATACTGCCTCTCCAAGACGAGCACGTCTTCAATAGGTGTAATTAAAATCATCGCCAATTTCAGATAATGTTTTCCCAAACCACTTTGTTGGAATTTCCTGTTTTGTGCGTTCTCCCATGTAACTTAATTGCTCGTTTCTGGTGTAAAAATGTGATTTGTTTGGTTAGAATCAGATTTTTGCCATTATTTGAGTGCTGTTATATTTGCAAATATGCTTAGGTCAGTGAGGCCTTGTGGAGTATCTATCAATAAGCATGAAAATGTGGCAAATCTGTGTGCTCAGTAGAGTAGCCATTGGCAGGGACGTGGCTTCCTCTGTGTGCAAGTCTTCAAGCTGCGCTAATTAACAGGGAGTTGAAGACTTAATACATTTTGTCCAAAAGATGATTGCCTCTTGAATTTCATCAGAAAAATGTTAAGCATGATTTTTAGCTTCAAAGTAGATGGAGTTCTCTATGAAATAGTTACACGGGATTTTTATTTTACTGCTTGATACATGGAGCCATGGTTTGTTTTGGAGCATGAAAAGCCCCAACAAGTCTTGGTTGTCTTTGTTAACGTGCAGAAGTAGCTGCTCTTTGAACAAGGTAGCTCTGCTGGTGGGCACTTTGTCAGTGTGGAAGACCATGTGGGCTACGAGAAACAGCGATGAGCAATACAGACACAGTCTGGGATTTTACTTACTGTGTGACCAGATGCTCAATTTTTTTGGTCAGATAAGCCCAAACAGGTTCAGTTTGGTGACAGTAACAGGTTCTGGTGACAGCCCAACAGTCATCAAGCAAGGAGAGGTGATGAAGCAGGCCCTGGTCAGCCAGGCAAGTGCCCTGGGCAGAGGTGGACCTGTCATGTAGACTCAGCTTGGGCAAGGGCAGGAGCTGGGGCTGAGCTCCTGGGCTGGTGGCAGCAGTGCAGGGGTGGGAGCCCTGCAATACAGCGGGAGTTCACCCTTGTCAGTGTCCCTGGTGCCCTGAGAGTTACTTTGCTGGAAAGACCATCTTCTGAGACCATCAGCTGTGGGTTGGAGTGAAAATTCATGGGAGGTAAGTCAGAGGGGAACATTTTGGAGACTTCCAGAGCGTGCATATGATCAGCTGGTTCCTATACACGCTCTGAGAGTGCATACTTCACTCTCAGTTTCACTCTCTGCTCTGAGAGTTCATACTTAACTGAAGTTGCATATGCAACTTCATTTGAAGTCGTCTGCTCCTGGTTAAGTTTTGGGACGGGGCTTGCTCTTCGCTTGGAATCATGGAGTTGCTTCTTCACAGGACACTTTTCTTGTAAACCCAAATACATTTATAATCACACTGTGAACCTTCACCTCATTATTTCTGAGTGATGAGATAGTCCTATACATGACAAAAAGAGAGCAGTAGGCCATGTCTCCCATGCTGGAGAAAATTAGAAAATCTTTATTGAACCCACTGGCATGGCAGGGAATGCATTTTATTCAGTAAAAGCAGTGGAAGAAACAGCCATTGTAGATTTAACCTCTGGGGCTGGATTTGAAAACACACTTTGTCATAGTTTCTGTTCCTGCTGAAGCCATCAGTAAGCCTTACCTGATTTCAGAGGTAGCAGAGTTTATCCAAAAGCTCAAAAATCCTCTCTTCACAAATTTCAAAAGCAACAAAAAAAAATCAGTACAGTGAAAGTTACTCTGGGGGCTGCTGCTGCGTGGAGGTGGCGTAGGTGCTCTGCAGCCACTTGGCAGATGGAACAGACCTGAACTTAACAGTCTTTTATGCCCTCAAAGAAGCTGTTGCCAAAAACCAGCTGTTTGGGGTGTGTTAGAATCAAACATGAATACTGTCCCCAGGAGAGCGTGGAGTCAGCTTGGTGGAGGTCTGAGCCTCATGATTTACCTTCCAGCTTTCCTCAGCTTTGGCTGAACAGGAGGCCTGGTGACCAGCTTGCCTTCTCCACTGCAGAAGAGCCCAGCTGTAGCTTCCAGCCCAGGCACGTGCTGATAGACCGCATCCCTCCTCTGCTCAGGGGAGGCTTGAGCAGTTCTGCTAAAATGGGATTGCGTTAATATCAGTTGACTAATTAATTGGGCAATGGCAATGTGTCTTAAGCACAACCAAGTTAACTGGGAAAAGTGGGAACTGTCTACAGGACCCACTGACTTTGCTCGAGTATTTGTATTTTTCTTAAGGATGTTGAAAATTGGAAATGTCAAAGCAATTCCACTGAAGCACAGACCTCAGGAAATTGATTTTTTCAGAAGTTCCATAAATGTAGATAGAAGGGATGGGGAGCACTCCCAAAGGCCTGTTTGGAGGATGGCTGGGTGGTCCCTTTTTCTGGTTGGTGGTGATGCTCATTTTGTGTCTAGAAAAGTTCCTGCCTTCTTTAAGTTTGAAAATTGTTATTCATTGTCCAGCCGCAGTCTTTCTGTGCTGGAGTTGAATTTTCATTGAGACAGCTCTTAAAATTATGAGCTCCAGAGCTCTATTGTGTAGATTTTAAAAAAATTTTTAGATGAACTTTGGTTGTATTTACAGTCTTAGGAGAATTTTTAAATAATGTAGATCCAGTAAATGCTATTATGTAATTTTATGCCCTTGTATAGCTATGGAACAGGCGCCATGGTGAGCCCTGTGGTACCTCATGTTGTAATCTGGATTTTAATGCTGGAATGTTCATATCAAAGAAGAGGTGGGACGTTTACCTCTGGACCGTTCTGCTGACTGGAGATCACCTCTGCGCAGTAACGTCTCTGTGCTGAAAGCAAAGCTGGAGCAACCTCTCTTTGTGGAAAGCAACCTCTCCCTCTCCGATTCGTGCCTTCGGTAAGAGAGTCTCTATTTCCCCAATTCCACGTTCCTCCCCTTGCGCTGCTGGGGCCGTGCAAACAGGTCAGATTTAAAATCTGGGCTCTTGTCCACTACTTTAGTGTTTATGTCCTTTAGCAGCAGCAGGAGTAAAGAATGACTGTGCGGTCATAAATTGTAGAGGGAGGAATAGCACGTAAAATAATGAAAGCAGTCACAGAAATAACGTTTCTAACGTGAGGGAGTGTATAAATCATGGCTGCAAACCAACTCAAGAACAAGTATTTCCCTTATTTCCCCTCCCTCACAGAAACCCAGAACTTCTGCTGCTAAGCAATAAACAAAATACATAAACGTCAGGAAACCTTTTTAGCCAGCTTTTAAAAACAATTAAATTAATTTCACATAGTCAAGGAAAGTTTACAGAGTATTTCTCGTAATAGGATGAAACGCACCAGCAGAAAGTACCAGGGAGAATGCAGACACCTAATTATATCACCACATTTTCAGGAAATAAAACTTCCTGGAGGCAATGTGTCTTGTAGAAGCGGTGTCATTTATGAATGGGTTTTTCGTGTGCTGGAACCTTGCACTCTAGGACTCATGGCACAAGGGAATACTAAAAAAATCTCCAGGCTTGAAACAAATCTGCCTCTGTGGGATGCTGACCCGCTGGCTGTAGGCAGTAAGCCATCCTTTCACTTCTCAAGGTTACAAGAAAATGTCCCATGGCAACGGGTTGTCTTGTTCTTGCCTAATGCAAAGGCTTCTGTTTCCTCCTTGACAGAGCTGATATTGTTGCCTGATCAAGAATAGTAGCTGGTACAGTCCTAAATCTTTCCATAAATTATTAATCCCACTAGCAGTCTGCCAGTTTTCATCTAGTGCGCTCACATACTGTGTTATTACCAAATGGATCCATTTATTTTTATCCAGTAGTCATCACTTCCAGAGAAGTTTCAAATATTTAGTGTCTTACTATTAACTAGAGAGAGTCTACGTGCAATAGTTGAGCACAGCATCATTAGGAGGAAACACAGTTGCCTGGGTGCAAGCTGTGAGGGGATTGCTGTCACACTGCTCCTGGGTTTGTGGGTGGGAAAAGGAGGCCGTGGCAAGGTCGGTCATATATCTATGTGTGATGGAAGAGGAATTGCAGAGCACTATCCAAAGCTAAGGTGGCCAGGGCTAGTGGAGTCATTACAGCATTTCTGGAATACAAAGCAACAGCAGAGCCCTTTCACAATGCCTCAAACTTCTGCATCCGTAGTGATGCTTGGCTGCTGTAGAAGAATGAGTGAGCAATATTTAGACAACTGTAACATAGTGGTTGTTCTCTTCTTGCTATCTCCTTGGCACCCCAGGAGATAAAACCAGACAGACATGGCCAATGTAGTCTAGATGGGGAAGGCTTTGAATAGGGGGCATCCTGCAAGACTAGTTCAGGACCTCTTCTGGAGACAGTCCTTGATGCTAGCTGTGCTCAGAGCTGTGACTTGGCTTCATCTCAGAAGGAACTTGCCAGTTCATTCTGGAAAAGGAGCAGAAACAAACAGGAAAGACTGCTCAAGTACCCACTTGTAGCCTGGACTCTCAGGAGATCAGGACTCGTGGTGTATCAGGGAGTAGAGTTCTTGGGTTGCACTGGAAGTACCCAGCATGGAGACCCCATGGGCTGCCTTGGGAAAGCCAAACCTAATTCAAGTGTTGATGAGCATCAGAGCACACAGTACGTACAGTAAGAGCCAGGCGTGTTATTTCAAGCACGTCACAAATGCAAACTGATGGCTGTTGGACAAGAAATGGCTCAGATCCAGCCTGTGGGAAGCTGGGGCAGGAGAGCCTGGGCTTTCCTCAGACACGCTCCCTGTCCCAGGTTGCTCGCTGGAGCAGTCAGTCTATGCTCCATTATGGGTCATCACTTTTCCACTGAAAGCTGACCGAAATCTCTGTGTTCTCCACAGAAAATAGTACAGAAAGAGTCAAATCCATCTCTGGTGGCATGGAGCTGTCTTGCTGCTCCTTTGACAGGTGATGAAATTACTGCTTTCCATATGTATCAAAGTGCTTGCCATATGTGTCATAGATATAAGTGCTTGCCATATGTATGAAGCTTTTATTCCTAATTGGATATTACAAAATAAAGTGCCTCATGTATTAAAAATGATAAATAGATCTTTAACTGAGTTGGTGTGTATGATCTGGGATCCCAGCCTGTGGCTTGCATATGGAGTTTTTCCGTGAAGGAAGAAATTAAACTTCAGAAAAAGGCATCTTGGTATCTTAGCAGCATTAAAAGTATATGAAAATAGAAACTGGAGCCAGACCCAATGTCGTATATCATTAAAATGTATTAATCAGAAAAAAAAGACAGACTGTCTTTCAATTTAAAGAAACAGTTGTGCTGTGAGATATTCTTTGCTTTAAATTCTTTATTTGGCTCCCAGTGTTTTATAACTAGTCTCCTTTAAAGCCCGCAGTGTGCTGCAGAAGCACTGTGCATTTTTAATATAAAAGAAAGAGCAGAAAAATGAAATTGGAGAAATTTCCTTTCTCAGACAAAACCCATACATCTTTATTTTTAGTTATTTTAAATGGGGACTTATTTACATAATGAAAATTTAATGTTTGGTTTTGTCTTTATTTGTTATAGGTGGTTAAGTGTATTCTACTGAAGGAAGAATAAACTCCATATGCAACCGTATTGGTGTGAAACAATATAACCAAACATGCTTAGTGCTTATGTGGTTTGGTTTTTTTTTTCATCGTCAAAGCATAGTACAAAATTAATTTTGATAGGATAATAAAAAGGGCACTGCAAAAGATTAATGTTGAAGAGATTTTAACACCGGAAATATAATTTGTGTGATGGAAAATATGAGCATCTGGCATTGCACTGTGAACTGTTCCCAGATAATGAAAAAAAAAAATCTTCCAGACAAGCATGGCCAGTTCCCGCAGATTATTTTTGCTTGTCTCTCCAGAGATACCCTCTGCCCGCTGAAACAACCACGCAGCACACGGTCCCTCCTTGCAGTTTTCCATCTGGAGCCTTGAATGAGTGGTGAATTAAGGTCAGTGCCAGGATGTGACTGCATTTCTTCCCAGTGAGCCAAAGGACGATCCCTGAGCAGCCCACCGAAGTAACACCTTCTGTTAGCGCTAAGTGATCCTGTGGTGTTATAATTCTGCAGTGAAAACGGGTACAAATCCACCTGAGCTTCACTGGCAAAAGCGAGTATGTGTTACCTTGAAGTTAAATACCTCGAAGGTATGTAAAGGACGTGTAGGTGTGGTGCTGAAGGACATGGGTTAGTGGTGGTTTTGGCAGTGTTAGGTTAATGGTTGGACTTGATGATCTTAGGTTCTTTCCAACCGAAATGATTCTATGATTCCATGATACAGTGCATATTATACCTTGTCCCCATACCCTTCGTGAGGCAGAAAGCCCTTTTTGTGTGCTCCACGGGTCCTGTCCCCTGCTGATACAGGCTTCAGTGATTCATTTGACACAAAGGCAGTTTCATGTCTCTCTGAAGAGAGCTTTAAAGAGCTTCTCAACGCAAATTGGTGTGTCGAAGAAGTGACTCACGGCTGTTGGGCTCCGTGTTGGGGGAGTGTGAGCAACCTCTGATCCCTCTGCAGGGACATGAGGGTTTGCTCTGAGGCATCGAGCCTCTGGGGGCTTGGCACAACAGGGGTTTGAAGAATCAAAGCAGAACTGGGGGGTCAGGTGAGAGCTAAGGCAGGGAGTGAGACGGAGCTGGAGTAAAGGCCCAGGTGTTGGAGAAGACCTTAGAGGGAGGATTGTGCTGTGGTGGAACCAGCCCTACCCGCTGTCCCACCCCGGCCACAGGCAGGGTTGGGGGTACATTGCTCCATGGGAACTCATAAAAAGTGAAAGCAGAGCAGAAGTGACCAGCAGGCTCACAAAATTGTGTCATTATCAGACTTGGCTGTTATTAGGGTGTGCATCACACTGTGCCCATCCCTTTCCTTTGCCCGTTTCTGGTACGTGACCACCCTCTGCATAGTCCAGAAACTGCAGATTTTACACTGTTGTCCCTCACACCCCAGGACAGCTGTGTGTGTGCCTTGCCCGTTGTGCTGCAGGCTGTCAGGTGACACTGTGAATGACACTTGTGTGTGGGGCAGCTCTGAACAGGGGAACGTGAAGAGGAACGAGAGCGGTTCCATCTCCTCCCTACGCAGCAGTTCATATGGTTGTGAAATGCCAGCACATCCCCATGTCCAGAGGTCGTGAATAAACAGATATTCTGCTTGGGTTTGTTTTTTTTTTATTTATCCTCTGTTTGATGTCACACACTGAACAAAACTAGAAACAAAATGGATGTGCTAATAATCCAACAGCCGTTTTGGTCGTGATGCTTGTCTGATTACACCAGTAAATGTCACCGTCTCAGGTCTAAGCACGGCATCAACCTCTTCAAAAATCAGATTTAACTGTTATCTTTTTGTGTGAGTCATAACCTAACATACTAGAGGATAAAAGAGCAGTCCTGAGTCACACTGCGGGTGCCATCTATTCCTTACTCTCCTGGTACTTGTGCTTGTTCTTTTAATAGGGTGTGGGGTGATGCTGGCTGCTCCGAAAGCTGTGTAGATTTTTATATCCCCTAAAAATCAATCACTTTCTAAATGTCAGGAACACACAAGTGATGACACAGAGACGTTTTAACCTATAAATCCTGGTTTTGCTGGTTCCTTAAACCTACAAATTTACAGGAAACAGTTTGTTTTGGGGAGCCTCCTCTTTCCATTAAATGATATTTAATGTTTTTCAAGTTGATAGAATACACCGTTTTACACTACTGAATGTTAAATTTTTATTTTAAATTTATATTTTAGTCTATTTGGAAAAAATACAGAATGCAGTTAGTGACTTGATTACGGTAAAAAAGAAAGAAGCTGGAATTCAAACCGAAAGTCGAAAGATACAGGATCGTGCTTCAGCAACCTGGGAAAGTTTTGCTTTTTGTTTTCTTATTTGTGGAAATCTGAAACTATCCCAGGGCAGGAAAAGGCTCTGTGGTGTGACTCAGTGCTGGACCCCGTGTTGGCCATCACGTAAGGCACAGTGTGTCCCGGGGGGACAGCAGGGGCAGACGGAGCCTGCTTCGGGCACGTGCCCGCGCACCCGTGCTGCGGCAGGGGCTGGAAATGCTTCAAAGCTTCTGAATTCCCTGATGTAAAAGCTGAAAGAACCATTTGGTAGAAATAAGAAGTTGATTGCTGTGCACACGAAGAAAGCCAGCTGCAGTCAGCAGTGTGTAAAAGGTCTTTAATGATGCAAACAACTTTTGGACAAAGTACAGACGAAGGTAATTAAGGCGCTAGGTCAGAGAGCGGGGCAGGCGTAGGTTTGTGAGAGTCCTTCCATGGCCTGTTGTGGCAGCAGTTTGCTCTAGGCATGAACGTGTAGACAACCCGAGGTCCAGCCCTTTTTCATACCCATTGTAAAAACCAAAAACCAAAAATGGGAATAAATGGGGCGTTAGTACTGTTATTGCTTAGGCTGTAATTTTGCCAGGATGCCACACTAACAACCCTGGCAAGTTTAAGTGTAGGCAGGGTGAAATGCCGAGGTGACGTGAGGTGTGCTCCGAGGAGCTGTGGGTTTCGTGGGGAAGGTCCAGGTTAGTGACCAGCATAGGCAGGGCTGTTCTTAAACATCATTTAAAGTGAAACCCCATGTCCTGACCCAGTCGCGGGGCGGTCTCCTCAAGTGACACCTCAGCAGGAAGCTTTGCTCTGCAGAATTACAGCTCAGGAGGCCACCCCTGCGGGGGGTGAGGGGACTGAAAAGAAAGGATGTCTCCGTTACAACGGTGCAGCGTTTTGCCAACACAGCCCAAGGATTTTAAGAGTCCAAAAAGGCAAATCAGCCAAGAGCTCAGGGTGACCTTGCTCAGAAGGAATGCCTGTGGAAGCCGCTTTATTCCAGGTTTCCTTCTTGAGCCCTGTGTCTGAGCACGCTGAGGCTGAGCTGGTTGCTGATGGGATGCACTTATCCCTGCCTGGGTGGGAATGTGCATCAGCCAGCAGGAACCAGTGTGTGCTCAGGGACACACAATGCAGGGATGAGCCCGTTGTGCTCCACTAGCTCAGCAGTCGGTACCTTGAAGGCATTTCTCTAAGGGCTTCAGCCCTGCTCACTTCATCCCAGCATCCCTGAGTAGTCATTAGCAGGCTGCTGTTGAAATTAATCCTCTGCAAGTCTCAGTAGGGAGAAAAAATACATCACTTACCAGGTCCTTCACTGCTGCCTTAGCTGCGTAAGTGTCTGAGTGAGTGGTTTTTGCTGCAATAGAGCAGAGTAATGTGGGGGTGTCTGTGCTCTTCAGTTTGTCTTCTGTGGTTCACTGTAGCATTTGACCTTGCCACTGGCAGTTTGCTTAGCAGTCATTTCTACAGTCAATGCAATTGGCATTAATTAATTGTCATCTTTAGCAATGGATTTTATGTGCAAAATGTATTATTTCTCAGACCCTGATTTTTAAAAGCTGGGTGTCTGTCCTGTACCTGCCGCATTTGTCGAAACTGCAGAGTCTCGGTTCTGCATTTTTGCACACAAAAATGGCTAAATTTGTCCTTCTTCATAAGCTGACCCAGGCCACCCACTCTCTGAAAGAGGCACTTGGTGGGGACGAGAGAAAACAGAGCCACGGGGACACAGTGGCCCCTTCTCCCGCTTCCAGCAGCCCTGGTGTTGTTTGTTCATGGTCAGTTTAGGAAATAACGAAGTCATTTATGGAAAAGATAAGAAGAGGTGGAGCCGTTGGGGTAGGGTGTTGCTGGAAAAGGCTTGGAAATAGAATCAAAGAAATCGCTCCTACCACTTTTGATTCCCCCTGCAGAACACAGGACCTTAGATATGTTTTTTTATAACTGAACAGGAATACGCCAAGAACCACTTTGCTTCATCATCAGTCATCCCAGAAGAGTGTGGGAGATACGGCCAGCAAGGGGCAATAGGAGAAATATTTTGACATGTGTAAAAGCTGCTAGCTCTTACAAACTACAACCAAATCTTGTTTCAACAGGAAATGTATGTAGCACGGAAGGTGCCGGTGCCAGATCTGCCTGGACTCAGATGCCAACAGGGAGACTCTGCTGATTTGGCAATGGCAGCCAGGTGCTGAGTCCGTGCTGGCCTGGCCCACTTCCATATCCACCTTGGC